TTTATTATTAATATCATGGTCATTAATTATTAATTATTATTTTTTATCATTATTTTATAAGATTTATTTCAAATTTTCTAAAAAGTATTAAAAATTTTAACTATGTATTACATTATTTATTTATTTGTTTTCATTTTTTTACTAATTATTATCATAAAAGCAATAAAAATTTATTCTAGCAAACTTAGACATTTTAACATGTTCAAATATTAATGATAAAAATTTAAAATAACAAAAATAAATTTAAAAAAAAAAAAAAATTTTACTTGAACCGGACTGGTCAACGTCGGTCTGGTCCATTCTGGACGTTAATCTAGGATGGTCTGAGATAATATAGGTGAATTCAACTGGATCGATCAGAGGTCAAAAGAGAAGCAGGTCGTAGGTCGATTGCATAGACCTTGGGTCAGGTCCCTAAGTGACGCACAAATTTTGAGTCCATGAAACAGCGTCGTTTTGCCTTTTTTTTTTAACTATAAAATCCAAAAAAAAACTTTTATTTCATTTTCTTTCTTCCCCTTCTTTCTCTGTCTTTCTTTTTCTAACCATAATGACTACCACTATTCCCAGAATCCGACGTCAATATGCTGTGTTGACCGTCGATTGTCAAAAACTCAAAAACTCCTAAAAAACCTTCTCCTCAAACCTCCAAACACAGATTTAGGCCTAGTTTTGCAAAATAAGGCTTCAAACAATGCAAATCTAGCCTGAAAGATTAGGCCAAATTTATTTTTTTTTGCTTTTTCTTGGCTTGTTTTGTGCTTTTGGTGGTATTAATTCCCGTTTCAGAGACTATATATTTTTTATTTGTGTTTTTGGATTTTTTTTTTATAAAGACCCATTTTTTTATTTAACAGAGCCCTCTTGGGGTAGTTTTATTATTATTTTTTGCTTGCAGGGCTTTTTTCTCTTTTTTCCTCTCCCATTTTTCCCATTTTATGGCTTTATAAATAAAGTCAAATGAAGAGTAAAATCCCAAAAAAATTAAAAATTTTATAGGGCTTTTGCTATCTAGAATTAAGATGGTTGTCAAAGTAACTGTCAAGACGACTGATAGTATGGCGGCCAGTGACTGGCAAATTTGAAAAAATGCCAGAAAAGAAGAAAAAAGAAAAAAAAAAGAGAAATAAAGAAATAAACAATAACAATAATAACAACAACAACAACAATAATAATAATAATATCGATATTTACAAATATTTATTAAATAGATAGTTTTAATAAAAATATTAATGAAATTTTTACATTTAAATAAATATCGATCAAATTTGAATTATAATTAATATATTTTTATAATTTTTTACATATTATTGATATTTTCATTGAATTCTATTAATTTATTGATTTTAATTTTTTACTAAAATTTTTATTTATTAAATTTTAATAAAAAATTTTATAAACTTCACTTATAAAATTTCATGTTAGTTTTGTTGACTTTTATATTATAATTATAGATGTTCCCACCAATTGTATTTGTTCTTTCTTCGTACTAACAAAAGAAGGATAAATACTCTGTTGAAACAAGATCGGATAATTCTAACCGATTGCACATATGATTGCTATACAGAATGAAAATTGAAGTTTTTAGTGGAGAAAGAAGCAGAGGCAGTGGATGACATAAAAAGGGTGAAGAAGAACGTGAATGCTAAGTTTATACTTGTTGCAGCAGTTTGACTATTCTGTTTTCGTTACATTTTCATCTGTTTTTTTATCACTTGCAAACACTTTTGGTGCTTTAATATGTCCATGTCTGCCGAAAATAACACCAAACATGTGCTCAATACCTTGTTAATTAAACTATTTCCCTTTGAAAGATCCTATTTTTTAACAGATTCTCCATCTATTTTTTTTTATATAATTTTTATTTATTTATTGTAAAACCTAACTCCAAGTCCGACGAAGGAAAAGGTCATAATATGTATATAACACCGGCCTATCTACGTCCAGGAGAAACGTCAATAGAAATTTCCTATCATATGATTATTCCACTAATCTGGCATTAGCTACTAGGCTGTAAAAACAGTAGTGATAAAAACATTTTAGAGTTCCAAGTGTAGATACAATGAAGGCCTGGAGTAGTTAAATAAAATGAAGTTAGAAGCTCTGGACCCTAATCGCTTTACAGGGAAATCAATTAATAGCAAGTTATGCCCCTAAAGAAGAGATACTAGAACTTAGTTGCTAAAAGATTAAAGAGGGAAAGAATTTTGGCCTATTGTTCCCTTTTATCCTTGACAAATTTTCTACTTTGATAATTTGAAGGACGAGGCTCAAAATGGAGCTGGTTTACTGTAATTGTAAAAATATTGATTTGGTTGTGCTAGTTATCGAAGTCCATGAGGTATCATGTTCATTGCAATTTGAATTTAAAAAAAAAAAAAAGCCAAGGTTTATGTTAGCACTAGCAGAATCTGAACCAAGCCTTGCTTTATGCCTGTAAGATCTTAGCAACATACAAAATACAGCAAAAAGTTTGTAAAATGTCTAGATCTAGAAAAGATCAATTGGCAAGAAGAGAAATACAATTTTCTATAGAGTATATTTTTCTTCTTGGACTAATAATAACAAGAAAAAGTCATTACCAGACAAATGGAAAAGCTCTTCCGGTCCAATAAAAATATCATTTTAGTCTTAAGAAGGAAGTTTCTTAAGGAGACTCCCCCGGAACTAATCAAACGTAGAATTTGTGGGGTGTAACTAACCTGATATTTTAAATATGTGATCGAAAATGATACAAAAATTTAATAATAACAAGTCAGACTTCTTTTTAGAATCTTGAAAATTAATTTTAGGCTCCTCTTTCCAAAACCAATTGACGTGTTCTTTAAGGTTTGGTTCTTCTCAAATTCAACGGTCAAACATCTTTTAAGTCTTTTTTGACAGTAATGTCCCTTAAGTGATTCAAAGTTGTGGGAGAACAAAAAAATGTGGAAAATTCTACCTTACTCTGACATTTCCCAAAATTGCAAAGATTATATTTTATATATTATTAATGAATAAATTTTATAATTATTAGTAAATTAAGTGATATTAATTTATTAATAAATAAAAATTTTATTTTTAAAATAAATATATATAAAATTAATTTTTAAAAAAAAATTATTTATCAATATTTAATTTATCTCATTAATAAAATATTATCATTTAATTTATTGATAATATTATATAAAATCTATAAAATAAAGATGCATCGAATGTAAACTAAAGTTGAAACCCATATCACACGCCAGTCGGTTGAATTGTGGTTGTTATCCGTCACAACCCTTTGAAACCACGTCCAAAAGTATTTCAGCAAACCAAGTTCAACAGCCACGTATCTTTCTTTTCTTCTCGTAGAAAAGTCTTAAGTGTTTTATCTTTGCAATTAACTGCAACCCAATGGTCTATTTCTTTAAAAATGATAGCATTTAGAAACCAATTAGAATGCATTTAGGTAGATAGTGAGATTGATTTCGATAAAATTAAAAATATTAATAAAAATAAAATTAATTATTATAACAATAAAATTAATTATTATAATTTTAAAATTAAAATTAATAATGAAATATTTATTTAAATATAAACGAATCAACAATAATGAGATTAAATGTAGTGAAAAATGAAAATAAATATTAAAGGCCCTAAATTAAAATTTATATTCAATGAAAATTTTAATATATTTTTTACATTTATAAATTAATTTTTATAAGAAATGATAAATTTAGTAAAAATTAATAATAATGTTTTACAATTAAAAATTGATTATTTGTTTATGATTTTTAGCTATTTATTAATTAATTTATTAAATTTTTATATAAATGATTTATTAAATAAATATAATGATGTTATTTAAAAATATTTAAATAAAAATAAAAATAATAAATAAATAAATAAATAAAAAAACAAATGCAAGTGATAGCAACATTTTCGTCCTGCAATTTAACCCTAAAGGTTAAAAAGAAAAAAAAAGAAAGTCATGGGTAAAAATGAAAAGAATGTGACGGGAGTGGAATATTTCCATTAAGTCCGATCAAGTTTTAAACTTCTATTGCAGTCAAAAATCATGAAACACGAGTATAGATGTGACCTCTGTTGTTTCTCTTATTATTCTCTTGCACTTTTTAAAATAAAAAAATAATAATAAACATACCAATCCATTAAAAAAGACAAATTTAAGGAAGAAGACTTAAATTTGAAAAAATAAGTCAATCAAGAAAAATTTAAGGCAAGCAATATAATAAATCAAATTACCCAAATTTTTTTTCCCTTCTCATTTTTCACTTCATTACCTACAATCCCTAACGGAGATGATCCTTAACATCGATCTAAGCTCAATAAGGGTTAGAATGCATCTCCAATCTTATCCATAATCCCTCTATTTTTACATTCCACTCCATTTCTTCCATCAAACCACAACTTATATATGCAAATTTCAACATAAATCACATAAATTTAAACTTAAATTAACTTATCAACTTTATAAAAAGCATTCACAAAAAACGTGATTTAAAAAATAACTGTTTATCATTTTTTCTAAGAAAAGAATTTCTCAAGCTTTTAAAAAAAAGTAAAATAAAATAAATAATACTACATAAAGCATATGAAGAATAAAACAAGTCTTAAACAATCCATGCACCTCATACGCCATAACATCTACGTTTAAGAAAAAAAAAAGTTTTTTGTTCGATCAAATTTATTAAGAAAAAAAAGCTAAATTCTCTTTTCCTTACCCTTTTTTGCTTCCTCAAATATGGCTCTTTTCTTGCTTTTTAACTTTTCTTCAATTTTTCCTAAGGAAAGAACATCCTTTTGTTCCATTCTCTCTTTTACTATTTTCATTTTTAATATTTCTTTCTCTTCTCACTCTAAGATTCGTTGTTGTTGGTGTTAAAATAAAAAATTATTTGACCACAAAAAGCAACGTGTCTTTCTCTGGAGTCTTCATTCGTCTTTCTTCAAATTTCTTTTAATTTGTTTAATTTTAACTCTTATCCAAGGAGGCAAAAATCTTTAAAATACTCTTCACAAATTAAAAGCCACTACACACGGAGAATTTTTTTTCTTTCCCTTGATTGAAAGTTTATCTTCTCTTATAAGAGTTGGCGAAGTCTCCGGTCTGTGTTAAAGCTTGAAGAAAATCAATCCCACTAAGCATGGCTCCTTCTTCTCTCCATTCTCTCTATCTCCTGCTAATTTGTTTGTTGCCATATTCTGTTACAGCCCAAACATACCGCAACATAACATTGGGCTCTTCGATGACCGCTGGTAATGGTAACTCTTTGTGGACATCTCCATCCGGAGATTTTGTATTTGGGTTTCAACAGATAGGAACTGATCAGATGTTCATACTGGCCATATGGTTCAACAACATACCTGAAAAAACCATTATTTGGTCAGCCAATGGCAAAAATCTAGTGCAAGCTGGGTCCAAAATTGAACTTACCACGGATGGCCAGTTTGTTCTAAGTAATTCGAAGGGAGATGAGGTGTGGACAGCGATTTTGACGGGTACAGGATCAGTAGCCTATGCAGCTATGCTTGACACGGGAAATTTTGTGCTGGCTAGCCGGGATTCAGCAAACATTTGGCAAAGTTTTGACCTGCCGACTGACACCATACTACCCACACAACAATTTAACCAAGGCGACTTGTTGCTCGCTATTCAGAAGCGAATTATTCAAGTGGAAGATTTCAGTTTATATTACAGGCTGATGGGAATCTTGTTCTCTACACCACAACTTTCCCACTGGACATGGTGAATACTCCTTACTGGTCAAGTAATACTGTAGGAAGTGGCTTCGGGGCTATTTTCAACCAGTCTGGCTACATCTACCTAATAGCTGGAAATGGAAGCATTCTCAGTTTTATAGCATCTAATGGAGCTTCAACCAGTGATTTCTATCAGCGAGCAACTCTTGAATATGATGGTGTCTTCAGGCAATATGTTTATCCTAAGACAAAAGGTGCTAGCAATGGGAGGCCCATGTCCTGGTCTTTGCTATCCGCTATACCTCCAGATATTTGCATGGACCTCACGGAGGAAATAGGGGGTGGGGCCTGTGGATTCAACAGCTACTGCGTTCTAGGAACAGATCAGCGGCCGGGATGTGTGTGCCCACCTGGATACTCATTCTTGGATCCAAATAATGAGATGAATGGCTGCAAACAGGATTTTGTTTCACAAGACTGTGATGGATTGCAAGAAGCAAATCTTTTTGGTTTCAGAGATATGCCCAACATTAATTGGCCATTCGGAGATTATGAATACTTACGGCCAGTTACTGAGGATTGGTGCAGACAGAACTGCTTGAATGATTGTTTTTGTGCCGTTGCTATCTTTAACAATGATGGTCAATGTTGGAAGAAGAGAATTCCTCTCTCAAATGGGAGAGTTAATCCAAGAGGGGGAGGAAAAGCTCTGGTCAAAATAAGGCATGAAAATTCTAGTTGCAAATCTGCCGTTGAAGGTTCAAACAATAACGATGGCTCAACTGTAATCCTCATTGGGTCTCTTCTAAGCAGCTCAGTGTTTCTGAATTTCCTTCTGCTGATAGGTAGTATTTTCATTATTTGGCGATTCAATAACAGGAGAAAAAAGACGCTTCAAATCCAACCAGCAACGCAAGGCATGAGTTTGCGATGTTTCACTTATAAAGAGCTAGAAGAAGCATCAAGTAAATTCAAGGAAGAACTAGGGAGGGGTGCATTTTCAACAGTTTACAAAGGAGTGGTAGATATTGGGAATAAAAGCTTAGTGGCAATAAAAAGACTAGAAAAGGTAGTGAAAGAAGGTGAGCAGGAATTTCAAGCGGAAATGAATACGATTGGAAAGACAAATCACAAGAATTTAGTTCAGCTGCTAGGGTTCTGCAATGAGGGGCAACATCGACTTCTGGTGTATGAAAATATGAGCAATGGATCTTTAGCAGACTGCCTCTTTGGAAATTCAAGGCCTAACTGGCACAAAAGAAAACAGTTTGCTTTTGGAACTGCAAGAGGACTTGTTTATTTACATGAGGAGTGCTGCAACCAGATCATACACTGTGATATCAAGCCTCAAAATGTCCTTCTAGATGAAGCCTTTACACCAAGAATTTCTGATTTTGGTTTAGCAAAACTGTTGAAGACAGACCAGACTCGAACAGTAACTGGAATAAGAGGAACCAAAGGATACGTTGCTCCAGAGTGGTTCAAAAGCATGCCTATCACAGTCAAGGTTGATGTTTACAGCTTTGGCATTCTGTTGCTAGAACTCATTTGCTGTAGGAAGAATTTTGAGCAGAGCATAAAAGATGAACGTCAGATGGTATTGGCTGATTGGGTGTATGATTGCTATGAAGAAAGAATATTGACTCTAATAGTTGAGAATGATGAAGAGGCTTTGGAAGATTTTAAGACGGTGGAGAAGTTTGTGATGATTGCCATCTGGTGCATTCAAGAGGATCCATCACTGAGACCCCCAATGAAGAAAGTCGTACAGATGCTAGACGGAGATCTTGAAGTCCCACTTCCTCCAGGTGCTTCCTCATTTGTTAGCTCTATTTACTTGTCTTCCGCACCCAAGCATTTGGCTCAACAGTAAATGCATGTACCCCTGCTGCTCAAAGAGCTGCGTTCGAATCCCTCTTTCTAAAATTATAAATAAAATAAATAAATAAATTACTAGTTCTCCGTGTAAATTAGAATATAATATATTTTTTGAGCATTTGACAGGTCTGTTGGGGGGTGTGATATCTACCAAATCTATCACTCATGATATTGTATACATTTACAAGTTTGCTTATAAAAGCAAATCTAATTTTAAAATGTGCAAACGAATCTTATATAAATATAAATATATAAAAGCTAAAACTTTTATTCAATGTTAATAATTTATAATATTGATATGTGGATAACATTTATTAATCAACATGTCTTGTATTAATTATATTTATTCATATTTATTTATTGATATAAATTAATTTAATTTCATAAATATTTTAAAATATTTCAATGTATTTATTATATATATATTTTTAATTTTCAATTGACTTATCTTTTATTTCTAATAAGATATCTTAAATTATAAATCAAAGCTAAATTAATGATACATTATAACTAAAGAATTTCTTAATGATTCAAAGAATTAATAAATACTATAATTATGGTAATTAATTCTTAATGATTCAAAGAACTTTTATTGAAATTTAATAAGAAATATTACAAAAATTTAATAACCACTATAATTATGGCCAAGAGTTGATTCCTTAATCAATTATTTGATATATTCATATTTGATTAAATATAATATCCAACTAAATTATGAATGTTATTCATATGTAAATATATATAATATAATAATTTTATATATTTATATAAGATTAATGATACATTATAATGTTAGATTTTTATTTTTGTTATAAAATTAATCATACATTATAATATTAGATTTTATGTATATGGGTTGTGATCAATAAGCCGTGCATCTCATTTTATACAAATATATAAAAACCAAAACTTTTGGTAAAAAAAGAAAAAAATTCACTATGGATAATCTATTTTTTTGACATGTGAATTGTTTTGAACAATCAACATGTATTCTATATTTAATTATTTCGATTTGACTTCATATACATTTTATTAATTTAAAAGATATTTATTTGGCTAAATTAGGTTATTTATTTTCTTATAACTATCCAATATTTTTGTCATTTATAAATGTGTTACAATTAAATTATCTTAAATCATTTTCAACCAAATTCAATTCTTAATATTAAACATCAAACATATACTATAAACAAGAAATATGCTTTGAAAGCATTGACTATTTAATGACCATGACTTTGGTATTTAATTAAGAAATAATTTATGTATTTGTTAACCTAAATGAATATAGAAGGCATATAATGCTAAAAATTCAAACCTAAAATAAAAGTCTAATTAGTTGGAAACATATTTTCATATTTCTTTCTATATAATTATTAATTACAATTGGTATAATTTATTGTCTTACAAGAATTTTGCAAAATATTAAGTGTAGACTTTTCAAAATAAAAAATATATTACATAAATAATTAATAACCCATAATAAGTTTTTACATAAATTACTCTCAATTTATAAAAATCTCTTAAATTCTTATTATAAATAGATAATCTTGTATGCTAAGGTCATGTTTGTACACAAGATTATGATAAGATAGGATAAGATAATATTATGAATAGAATTAAATTAAATAATACCATCTTATTTTGTGTTTAATATATGTAAAGATTATGATAAGATAATTTATTTATTTATTTGTCAAAATTATCCTTCTCAATGTTTATGCAATTTAAATTATTTATGTAATTTTTAAAAGTATAATTGGACATATAAGTTTAATCTTATAAATTAAAAATAATCATCTCCCAGTGAAGATGATTAAATAATCCTATGCCAAAATGATGTTAATCCTCTTTTCAATCTCCATTTATTTCCTTATATATAAATCAAATATGATATATGGTGATTATTATTCGATCCTATCAATAATTTTATGAATCAAATATGACCTAAAAGTATTAGGAGATTACTCTTTAAAACTCTCCAAATGTATTAATTTCATTATGATTAAAAAAATTTTGATCACCAAGTTACATTTATGTTCATAAACCTTTTTCTTTATTATGGTTGTTGATTGATTTTATTTCTTTTTTATTCACTTTTTTTATGCATATTCATACTTTATTTATCTATTCAGTTTCAATATTAGTTTTTTTTTTTTACTTTTAATGGAATAATTTCATATATTTTATCTCTTTTTAGTTTTTAGTCCTTGGATATTTGGTTAGATTTTTTTTCATGACTAATAATGGATGTGAATAAGGTGAAATTTTTTAGTTAAGTTTGAAGTTTGTTAGAATTTGACATAAGTTTTTCTCTCCTATTTACCTTTCATTTATAGTTTTATCCATATTTAATATGTAATATATGGTTTCAATCTCATTCGCTAAACATGCAAATTTAATTTGAACTACTTTGACCTTTGTAAATATAATATAAAGATGGATACCACTTAGCTAAGGATTTTTTGTTGTTATTATGAGTTCGATCTAGATGTTTTGCACCAAAGCAAGGGGTAACACCAAGCAAAAGTTTCTACAAAAGATTAATTTTAAGTGAAATAAATTTATGTGGTTTGGAATCAAACATTATTTAATTTTGTATAAATATCACTATTAAATGAGAGACAATACAAAATATTTTTCTTTATATTATATAAGTACATATTGATCTACAATATTTTTAATTTTTTTTATTATTTTACATTAAATTTTTTTTTATTTTTTATATAAAATTTATTAATTATATTATATATAATTGAATTATATATATAATTATATATAATATAATTGCATATCCTAACATCGCACGGGCTTCAAACTAATGAATGAAAAATCCTAAAATTGTTACACATATGAGGATCGCTAAATTCTTTCACAGATTTGAAAGTAATTTCCTAGATTGAATTCCTCCAGATACGCTTCTACGTATTTTGAGATTAAGAGACAAATAGAGCAAAGAGGATACAATTCTAAATTGTTTCTTAAAACCTGCAAGAGCCACAAGCATGTGGCAATTGAAGAAAAATTGGTTAATAGACAAAGAACAAGTTAAAATTAAATTTTCTTCTTAAACAGTTAGCATAAGAATTCTTTTTTTCTAGCAATCATGAAACAATTCTAGGATTTTAGGAGGCAGTCCAAGCATTAGGCCACTTAAATGGTAAGTGACAGAAAATGATAAAGAAAAACAAGCAAAGTAGCAAACTAAGGCGCCGCCGCTCATATCTCCAGAAAGCCGAGCCTTGAAGTTGACTTGTGTTTATTAATGTCCAAGCCTTGAAGTTGACTTTGGTTTATTAATGTCAACCAAACATGTTTGGTTGCAATTGTCAACAAAAGCTGCCAACTTTTGTACCTTGCATTTGTCATATAGCATTTGTCATTTCCTTCGACTTGAAAAAAATAATAGAATTAGACTCCGGGCTCCAATTGACATTTGACATTTCTTTCTCGTTGCAGGATTATTTTTATTTTTTAAAAATTATGTTTTAAATATGAAAAAAATTAAAATTTTTATGTCAAATTTTAATAAATGATGATATATAAATAAATATAAGTGTATTTATTTTTTAATATAAATTATAATTTAATAATATATAAATGTAATTTTTTTATTAAATTAACGTATTAAATAATATTTTTATTAATATAATATATATAAATATAAATTAAACAAATAATATAATATATTCTTTTATATTTCTCAAGAAGCACAAGGGTAAAAATCTAATCTAGACTTGACCTAAATTATTTAAAGAAGTAAAATTAAACCCAATCCTTAAATAAAAAAATTGTATTAGTTGAATCACAACGAATCTAAATCCAAAGATATAAGTTGTTTTATGATACCTACATCCATTGATTTTTTTAACAAATTTTTTAATAAATAAAATTTTAAAAAATAACAAAAAAGAAGCCACATGTAAATTTATTAAATTAAGATATCAAAGAATTTTTTTAATGAAATACATATATAAATATAAATTTAAATAAATAATAAAATACATATTTTATATACACCAAGGTTAAAGCGTAACATCCAAAACCTTACTCTTATTTGAACTCAATTTAAAAAATAAAAACAAAAATTCAACTTGTTATCATGAATTAAAAAAAAGCACACAATTTGGATTGAGACAAATTGAAATCCATCTAATATGGATTATTTTGTCACCTCTATCTCAATTGATTTTTTTATTGCAAAATTTATCTAATAAAAAATTTAAAAAAAAAAGAAAAAGCTTTAAAAAAAGATATTGGAAAAAAAAAAAGAAAAGTATCACATGTACATTCAAGACAGGATGAAACACTTTTTAATCTATTTTTAACTCGATCTTATTTTCAAAAAAAAAAAAAAATCATCCATCCAATCTTAGTCTTTTTTTAGAAAAAGCACTTATGTTAGATCGATACGAATTAAATTCAATTGAATATGGATTATTTTATCATCTCTACCTCCATTTTTTTTTTTACGAAATTTATCACATGAAAAATTGAAATAAAAAACAAAATAATAAATAATAAATGAATTTCATAAAAAAAATCATATATATATATATTATATTACAACATAAATAGTTACCAAATAGCAATTGCTGACATAGACGCTTACATGGACAATTTCTTTTTTTGACACGTAAGATAATTACTAAGATTTCTTATTATAATGACATATAAGATATTTATTAATTTTAAATTATTTATTAAAAATATATTTTAAAATTTATCAAATTATTTAAAATTTAATCAAAAAATAATTTAAATTTTAATGAAATTTCTCTTGTACATCACATTATCCCATTTTAAAAGCAATTTTAATGTAATTTATCTAAAGTTAACATGAGTATTTAAATTTATCACAACTTTTAAAAATATTATTTAATATCTTTAATATTTTTTATAAATAATCTTTATATTATTTTTAGTTTTTAAATATATTTCACAAAGGAATGTGAAAAAATATATAAATACCAGAATAACTTTAAGAAAGTTTCTCATCTACATCACCTTATCTCAATTTAAAATCAATTTTAAAATAATTTTTCTTTTTCAATTTATTTGCAATTAACATAAGTATTTAAATTTATCACAACTTTTAAAAATATTATTTAATATCTTTAATATTTTTTATAAATATTCATTACATTATCTTCAACTTTTAAATATATTTCACAAAGGAAATGTGAAATATATATATATATATATAAATACCAAAACAACTTTAGAAAAGTTTCTCTTGTACATTACTTTATTTCAATTTAAAACCAATTTTAAAGTAATTTATCTTTTTCACTTTATTTACAGTTAACATGAGTATTTAAATTTATCATAACTTTTAAAAATATTATTTAATATCTTTAATAATTTTTATAAATAATCATTGTATTATCTTCAATTTTTAAATATATTTCATAAAAAATGTGAAAAAAAATATGCAAATACTAGAGCCACTTCAAGAAAGCCCTCATTATTGGTAGTTTTTAGTTATATAGTTTTTCTAATGTCCCATTGAGCTAAATGTATTTTTCTCTACTATTAATTTAGTCTCTCTTTACATTAGTCTATTCTTGTTATAGGAACTAACATATTTTTTCTAATGATAGGTATTATTTCACTAAACATACTATTCACTTCATCGAGTAGGAGGTACTATTTCACTAAACATACTATTCACTCCATTAGGTAAGACTTTTTTTTTCAAATTAGTTATAATATTGTTTTTAGCTGTAATATTTAAAAAAAACTATAAAAAACATATATTCTTATATTTTTTATCGGTATTATCTACAAACATTTTATTTTTTTTTCAGATTCTTCACTCAATCAGATAATATATTTTATCTTTTAACTAATTATTTATTTAATATTCTCTATTCGTGTAAAATAAAAATAATGCTCTGATTAATTGCTATAATATAATTATGTGCCCTAATAAAAACTTATGTGCCAGTTGTACATTAGTGAATAATTTCTCAACTCTTATATCCATTGTGAAACATTTAACATAATTTAAAATTAAGCGATTCTTTTTCATAAAAAAATAAATTTGAAAAGAAATAATTCAGGGATAGTCTCATTGTAGTATTAATTTCAAGTGCATTTATATCTTAGCTTAAAAAAACCTCAGAACCATAAAATATTTCACCAAAGATTCTTGAATAAAAAGATATAAATCCTATGACAACTCTACAATTATGGACTAGAGAATTCCTCATTGTAGACATCGAATTTTGTTTGAAATATTTTAGCATAGTTAAACAAAGCCCATTTGAAGTCGATAAAAAGTCCCTTAAAGACCTTATAAAATGTTTAATATTTAAGCCTAATAAATAAAGAAAAAGGAGACTCATATGATTGATGTCAAATTCTTTCATATGAAATTTATATAGATAATACCTTTTCACATGGATGTATGAAAAATAAAGAATAAATAAAATAGGTAAACTTCAAAGTCAACCCTAGTCAAAATTACATAAAATTTGGTCAAAATGAATATAATTGGGGTTAATCTTCAAAGTTCAAAATCTAATTAGAATCAATGTGGTTTAAAATTAAATTTGATGATTTTTAAAACACAAAATTTTTTATTGCGCCTAGAGAACTACAAAATTATCAAAATGCCCCTATATAGGATATTTTCATAACTTGGCCTTCCAAAGTTCAGATTTTCATAAAATTTTTTAGATCTTAATTTTATAATATTTCATGATTTTTAGTGAATTTGAAATTACAACTGTATCTAATAAGTGTAAAATTACTAAAATACTATAAATGATATTTTCGTAATTTGATCTTCTCGAGCTCAGATTTTTGTGAAATTTTTTATATCTTAATTTCATAATATTTCATAATTTTTAGTGTATTTGAATTGTAGCAACAACCCGCATATTTTCTAAAACTAAAAAACCATCATGCGTGACGCAACCCGTATCTGAGTATCAATCCAAACCAACATTCCATCATTAAAAAGGAAAAAACAAAATATTTCTCCCAATTTCCAAGGAAATTATTAAACCCAAAAAAATATTAATTGCTCTCTAGGGATCTGTAAAGCTTTGGAATGATTTATAGATCATATATACTATTTATCAATTCACTGAATGGCTTTTGGTGAGCAATTCCGACTAATAAAAAGCAATTGAACGTCGATGGCCAGCATGAGCCACTAACCAGAAAGAGAGAAGGGAGCAGATTGGTTGACGAAGTTAGAGAGAAGAGGGGCTCAGTTGAGTTAGAGAGAGCAAGGGAAGCAAAAGTGGGATTCTTTTTTAACTTAACATAACTCTAAAAAAATGAGTAAATAAATTTTTAGTTGATGTGGTGGGTGGTGGGAAGATGATATGCGAGTTATATCATTATTTTAATAATTTAGATGAAATTTATTAAAATAATTAAATTTGATATATTTAATAAATTTAAGTGATTTTGTTGAGATAGATAGAAGATCAGTGAACCGGGATCTAGGTAATAATAGATGGGTGGACACTGGAATTTACACCGACTTCCAACTTTGAAAGGATACAAATTTAAAATTTAGAACCTTATACAACAATGAAAACGGCATCTTTTTTCGGACAAACTCTCTCCCTCTCTTTGGATCACATTGCTTTGTTCTTACAAAAGTGTTTAAAAGCAAAAGCCTTGAAACCAGGCAAGCAACTTCATGCTTCGTTGTTAGTTACTGGGACTGATATGGAAGTTTTGTCCTTGAGTTCAAAGCTTGTTGGGATGTACGCTGGTTGTGGAGACCTGAAATCCTCCGGTTTCATGTTTGAAAAAATCAAAACCCCAAATGTTTTTGCCGTGAATTGGATGGTTTTAGCTTTTGCTTTTAATGGCTACTTTAAAGAGGCAATTGGATACTTCTCATTACTGTCAGAATCAATAAATCTTTGCAATAAATTCACCTTTTCTGTGGTTTTGAAGGCTTGTGTTGGGCTGATGGATTTGCATAAGGGAAAGGAGGTTCATGCTGTTGTTAGTAAGTTGTGTTTGGAAAGTGATGCAGATGTTGGTAATGGTTTGATCGATATGTATTGCAAATGTGGAAACGTGTCTTATGCAAGGAGATTGTTTGATAGAATGACTGAAAGAGATATTCCCTCTTGGACATCCATGATTTGTGGTTATTGTAATGTGGGAAAGAATGAAGAAGCTCTTGGTTTGTTTGAGAGGATGAAGTTGGAAGGGTTGCAACCTAACGAGTTTACGTGGAATGCGATGATAGCAGGGTTTGCTAGGAGGGGAGATATCACTGCTGCACTTGCTCTTTTTGGTAGAATGAATAAAGAAGGATTGGTGCCTGATTTGGTTACTTGGAACGCTATTATTTCAGGTTTTGCTCAAAGCCAATGTCCTTTTGAAGCATTGAACTTGTTTGGAAATATGTTAGTTTCTGGGATGAGACCAAATCATGTGACTGTAACTGGACTGCTTCCAGCATGTGGATTGACAGGCTCTATTCAAAAAGGTAGAGAAATTCATTGCTTGATTTATAGATTGGGACTCGATGTCAATGTGTTTATTGCTAGTGCTCTTATTGACATGTACTCCAAATGTGGCAGTGTGAAAGATGCTAAAAATGTCTTTGACAAGATTCCCAGCAAAAATGTGGCATCTTGGAATGCTTTGATTGGATGCTATGGGAACCATGGCATGGTTGAATCTGCAATAAAAATGTTTGAGAGGATGCAGGAAGAAGGGGTGCAGGCAGATGATGCAACTCTAACTTCTGTTCTTTCTGCTTGCAGCCACAGTGGTTATGTTGAGAAAGGTTTGAAGATATTTAGGTCGATGAAACAGAGTTACGGGATTGAAGGTGCCAAAGAACATTATGCTTGTGTAGTTGATATGTTATGTCGATCTGGGAGGATTGTAGAGGCTTATGAATTTGTGAAAGAAATGCCATTTGAGGTTACAGACTCAATTCTTGGTGCTTTCTTCAATGGTTGTAAAGTTCATGGAAGAAAAGATTTGGCTGAATTGATGAGCAAGCAAACTCTTAAAATGGAATTGAAAAGGCCAGGTGGTTTTGTTACGCTATCAAATATTTATGCAGCTGATGGCGAATGGGAGGAGGTCGAGAATGTAAGAAAGCTCATGAAAGAAAAGAAAATTCACAAGAAGCCTGGCTTTAGCCGGGCGAGAAGGGGTGGTTTTGTTGGGGAATAACTAGAAAATGAAAGCAGAGCCAAGAAATTTGGATCAGGTAATTCTTCGACAAGATATAATCAGTCTTGTAATCCTTTTCACCCTCATTCAACTTGATTTGTTTCTGTTAATTTTGTCTGAGATATTTTCTTGTCCCTGAATATTATATGTTCTGAATTCCCTTTTATTTTTCTGTACATGAAGATGAGGTGAAAACATCAGAAAATGATGTCGAATCTAAAAATTTGGATGTTGTTAGTGTCAAGGGTTAAATAAGATAAGAGTTAGAACTTGCTAACATTTGACCTGATTTTTTAAAGTAATATAAGTGCATTATATTCCTTTTTATCCTTAAAACAAATTTTCCCCTAGCATAGATTTAAAAAATTATCCTTTCAAGGTCACAGTTGCAATTGAAGACATTTGGACCATAATAAGTAATTAACAAGGATCTCAAGGGGGCAGAGGGGGAGATGTAGCATTATCTTACAAACACTCATAAATTATTTGCTATTCTCCATAAATATATGCTAAATTTGGGTCTTATGAAAAAATTACCCCTTCGAAGGAAAAAGGGATTTGATGTAAGAAATCTGAATCCTACTGCTGTTTTACTAATGCACTGGTTATTATATGCACAACTTTTTAAAGGTCCTATGATAATTTTACATAGCATTTTAGAGGTATATTTTCTATCTTGTTAATTTTCTTCTTAGCCACCCCCCAACCCTTCCTTTTGATTAAAATTACCTCTGCTTTGTCCTTTCTCATGTGCTAGGTTGGGTTCTTTGTTGTATAGCAGCTGTACGATTTTAGGATTTAGTCCACTTCACCTAATATGACATTTTGACCAGACCTTACAAAGCAGTAGCTATATATACCAGTCAAGAGCATCTGCAGCCAAGAAGGCACATATGCCTTGTATACTTAGCACGAATCTATATAAATATATATATATATATATTTCATTTGGTTTCTGTCTTCTACATTAAATAAAAGAAAATATGTAAATAAAAAAGGAGAGAGACAGTCAAGTGGGGGGAGTGCACAATGACTTTGCATTCTTCAGGTTGGGTTTTGCTATCATTTCTTAATTTTCCTGTCATGAAAACAGTTTTGGCCATTCTTAAGGAATAAGAAAAGTTTTGATTCCAAACCTTATTCATTCAATAAGTTGGTTTCTCTGAAATTGATAAACTTTATAAGTACCAGAAGGGATATTATAATAGACACATATATAGCATTGCATTCACAAATGCACATGCCTCCTTCACAGCAGGCTTGTCATTGTTGGGAAATTACTTGGTTGCTGGTGACGGTAATGTTTCTTTCCTCTTGGATGCTTTCATTATTTTTTCCAGTCACTAGAATCAAGCCTCATCCATATTTCGCTTAGAAAACTGCCACAAGTTGGAGTATCTCTGACCACAAAGACATGCTATTTCCTCTTTTTATTTTCTTTCTTTTTTATTTCAAATCAACGAAGCTATAGTATTTCTTAATCTAGCAACATAAATTTTCCTGTGCAGTATTTCCGATTTGTGTTTATCAAATAGGAGCATATTCCCCTTAGGGAGTGTTTGGTTTGCGGAATCTTGGATTCCAAGAGAAAGTATGATCTCTAGAAAAATGCGATATTCAAGATTTTCTTTCATTTTCAAGGTGTTTTGTTTTTAGATTCACTCGTTTGGTTTGAGAGAATTCATGTATAGTAATTTTTGAATAATTACCAGAATCTCATTGACATATATAGTGGTAACTTTTCATTAGCTTTTATTAATAATAAATATCAAACAACAAATGATGCCTTTAGTAGCAAAAGAAGATGAATATTTTATTTGATTATTGTTTTTATTTATAAAATATCATCAATTGAGTCGTTTCAATCTATTTTTGAGTAATAGAAATTGATAGAGAAAATTGTTTGGTGTAAAATGATTAATTAATACGTTTGTCACTTTTTCTATATCATGGAATAATAATAAATGTTCCTTTTATTTATTTATAAAAAGATGCATATTTGTACAAAAAAATGCTTTAAATAATCTTGTCATAACATTTAGATTCGAGGATCTATCGCTAGACATTGACTTAAAGAGTCATTACTAATCTTTTTTGTCATCTAAAGACTTTATCCTTTTATAGAACATCTAAGCTTAAGGGTCTCTAAAAGAATAGGTTCAGATCTACTAATCAGAACAGGGTTCGAGAGTTCGGTTACTAGTGAGGAAGGTTATAGCATCCTCACAACGTCTATCGAAAGATGGTACCAGCTCAAATTCGTGTTATCCAATAAGCTTTAAAAATTTTATCAAGTAATTAATTGTTAAAAATTATTCTTAATTAACTCCAATATTTTTTATAGAAAATAAAGAAAAATCTCCTCACTTCAAGAGTATACAAGAAACTATTGTTTTACTTGCAGAGACTCCATCGTCAAATTATTTAACATTAAAAAGTTTCAAAAAAAAATAAAAATAAAATAAAATAAAATAAAATAAATAATTATTCAACTTTTAATATAAATCATTTTCTTTTCATTTTAAAAAATTCATTGCTTTTGTACAAGAAAAATTGATACTTTCAACTTTTCTTTAAAATGTTTTTCTTGATAATTTTATTTTTAAGAAAAATTGGTACTTTCAACTTTTTCTCAAAATGTTTTTTTTTTTTGAAATTTTAATTTCAAGAAAAATTGATATTTTTAATTTTTTCTCAAAATATTTTTTTTAAGTTTTAATTTCAAGAAAAATTGATACCTTCAACTTTTTTTCAAAATACTTTTCTTGATAATTTTTATTTTAGAAATTTTATTTTTAAGAAAAATTGATATTTTCAACTTTCCTTCAAAATGCTTTTGGAAATTTTTATGTTCAAAGGAAATTGATATATTCAACTTTCCTTCAAAATATTTTTTCCTTAAATTTTATTTTCGAAAAAAATTGATACTTTCAACTTTTTCTTAAAATTATTTTTTTATTTTTTAAAAATTTTATTTTAAGAAAATCATTAAAAAGAAAAATAAAATAAATTTAAATTTAAAAAAATTTAAAGAATACCAAATAATTCTAATTTAGAAATAATAATAATAATAATAAATAAATAAATAGAGAAAAAAAAATCTTAACGCGGTTTGGCTCAACGGCTGGGATTCGGCTTGGCTACAGGCACAGACCATGGCTTGGATGATGCAGCTTGGCGATTCGACTCGGCTGGAAGGATTGGTTGAGGCGTGGGTCAAACTCGGGTCAAAAGTGGGTTACGCTATGGGTTGGGTCGGACCTTGGCAAAGCGCGCGGATCTTGAGTCCCTTTAAATGCAAAACGACGTCGTTTTCAACGAATATAAAAGGCAAAAGCTTTCGATTTTCTTCAGACGCTTTCCTTCCCTATCTCTCTCTTCCTCTCTTTTCTCTTTCCTCTTTCTAGCAAAACCCAATTTTTCGATTGAAAAATTAATCGAAAACTAGAAAGTAGCTAGAAATTGAAAAAACTGGCCAAAATCTAGGTTTTTTCGCAAGAAAAGTCATCGAAAAACTTAAATTTTGGCAAAATATTTTGTCAGATTCTGGAAAATTTTCAAAAATTTTTCAAAAAGAATGCCAAAAATTCAAAACAATTTCCTAAGAATTTTAAACTGCCTCTAAACACTTTTTTTGCTTCTTTTTCCTCTCTGTATGCTTTTTCTATGTGTCCTTGGGTTCTATTTCAGCATCTATTTATAGAGATTGATCAGAAGAGTTTTTAATCAATCTCAATTTCATTTGGGATTAAGATTCAATCTTTGAATCCAATTCAGAGTCTATTAGTCCCCAAATTCATGGCAAAAAAGTTTCTTCTAGAAAAAAACGATAATAAGTAAAACAAAATTTAGAACAGATAAACCAAACCAAAAAATATAAAAAAAATAATAATAATAAAAAATAAATAAATAAATAATTATAAATAATTATAATAAAATTAATAATAATAATAATAATAAAATTAAAAATTAAATTAAAATTAGAAAAAAATGAGCCTATATTACCCATTTAAACTAGGCTCAATTGATCTGGACTTAGATCAAATTGGGTGTTTACATCTATCTCTCTTTACACATTTTTTATGAAACAAAAATTGTGCAAAGGCATAGACACCCATTCAAGACTCAACTCGATATTTTTTTTTGCTTTTTTTTGTTTTGTTTTTGTTTTGTTTTTTTGTTTTGGTTAAAATTTTGATCAAAGCTCTTCTAAACAGAGGCTCAACGACTTTGAAAAAATAAACAAAACTCATCTAATCAGAGGTTCAACAACTTTTAAAAAAATAAACAAAGCTCTTCGAAGCAGAGGCTCAATGACTTTTAAAGAAATAAAAGCTCCTCTAAACAGAGGCTCCATAATTTTTAAAAATAAATTACTCCTCTAAACAGAAGCAACCATAACTTTTAAAGAAATAAATGCTCCTCTAAACAGAGGTAACCACGACTTTTGAAAGCAAATTGCTCCTCTAAATAGAGGCACTACAACTTTTAAAAGTAAATTCATCTTCTATAATCATGTCTAAAGGAGTCAAAGATCGTGTTTGAAGGAATTTCAAGAAATTATACCTAAGGGCCTTACAAATCGATCCTGATACCAAGAGATATCCTTTCCAATGATTAAAATCTTACCTCACAAGCTTCTTCTCAAACGAGAATTTAAAACTTTTACATCGAAAAATCTTCACATCTGTCTTATCCACGTGGGATCTTAGAATACTGCTGCTTTTTGAATTTATGTATTATACTTTCTTAAATGCAATATATACTATGCGAAATGCAATGCATGCAAAATTCAATGCATGTTATGTTGGCTAATTAATTCCCATTCAGTTGTGGTACTTAAGTTTCTTAAGCTCTTTTCTTGGGCCTCGAACCCTTTATTCTTCAAAGATCAAATCAGCATAACTCTCAATCATTTGTCATTTAATTCTCACATTCTTTTTGCTAGAAATCCCTTTCCAAATTCAATGTCTTTATTAGGAATTGAATATCTCAAATTTGCCCTTACCACTCTTAACCTTTTCAATGTAATGTAGAAATATTTCATGTTATTATTCATTTATCAATCATTATTTCAATATCAAAAAGTAAGAATGCATTCACACATTTCTTTCATTGTAAGGTATTAAAGAGCAAATAATAAAAATGGTTAGGAAATAATCAACAAAAGAGACATAATGAATGAAATAGAATGTCTTTTATTAACAAAAATGCTGGCAGACTTTGGCCAAGAAAGAATTACAAAAATAGGTATAGGGAGACAATGCCCAAAAATGAACAATCGGATAATCATGATAACACATCTCAAGATTTTTTTCAAAAAAACTCAACCATCCTATGCATTTAACAACTTGGAGTTCCTCAAAATATGCTAGCCTCCATGCCAATAAATTTTTAGATTTGATGCTGTGTTCCCCTTATCTAAGTTGCCTTTTCATGTTTTCAACTTAGATAAACCCCCTATGACTTAAACCGTCTTCTTGGGGTTTTCGTATTGAGTTCTCCTTTTTTATTTTTTTATTTTTTTAAGCATAATACTTCTTCACAGCATCATAATTTATAGGATGGGATAAATCACTTCCATTCATCTCAGTTAATATCAATGCTCTACCCGAGAAAGTTCATTTTACCACATATGACCTTTCTAATTTGGAGTCTATTTTCTTCTATTATCGTGTTGACTTGAAAGAATTCTTTTCAAGATCAACTCTCATTCTCGAAAGCAACGAGGTTGAACTTTTTTGTCATGAGCTCTCATCATCCTTTTTGATATAGCTGACCATGACATAATGCAGTCAATCTCTTTTTTTCAATGAAATTTAACTGTTCATAACGCTCTCGAACCCATTCAGTCTCTTTCAATTCAACTTCCTTCAGAACCCTTAAGGATGGGATCTCTACTTTATTTGTAATACAGCTTCCATTTCATAAACCAAAGAAAATAGAGTTGCCCCAGTAGAGTTGTGCACTAACGTTCGATATGCATGCAGTGCAAATGATAACTTCTCATGCCAATCTTTATAGGTTTTGATCATCTTCTCAAGAATTTTTTTTATTTTTTTGTTAGCTGCCTCAACTGCCCTATTCATTTTCGGACAGTATGGCACCGAGTTATGATACTTGATCTTGTATTGGGCACATATTTCTTGCATCATCTTGTTATTCAGATTCTTAGCATTGTCTAAAATAATTCTCTCTGAAAGTTATATCTACAAATGATCTCTCTTTTTATGAACTTATAAACTACATATCGTATTACATTTGCATATGATGCTACCTTCATCCATTTCGTGAAGTAATTTATCATTATGAAAATAAATCTATGCCCATTAGAAGCTTTGAGGTAATATGACTAATGACATCATGCCCCACATTAAGAATGGCTAAGGTGGTGTCAAAACATGTAAAGTAAATAACGAAGCATGGATCTTGTCAGCATAGATTTGGCATTTATGACATTTGTGAGCATAGTTAATGCAATCACTTTTCATTATCAATCAATAGTACCCTGCTCTCATGATTTATCTTACCATCATATGTCAATGAGCATGTGCCTCACATATTTTATCATGCACCTTTTCAATGATTTTTCTTGCTTCTACCTTATTTACGCATCTCAACAATACTTGATCATGGCCTTTTTTGTACAGAACATCCCTATCCAGAAAAAACTTATAGCTAATCTTCGGATGACCTTTTATCATTCTCCGTTGCTTGGATTGGGTATTGCTGGTTCTTAATGTATTGTAAGATATCATAATACCAGGGCTTCTTATCTTTCTCTTCTACATTAGAGCTGTGAGT